GGCGCGCTTTCCCACCCTGTAGCACTCGCTCCTCCAGTTTCTCCCCCACCCACCTCCAGGTCCCCGCTTGGGGTCCGTGACCCCGGCGCCGGAGGCTGGGGAGGCTCGGGAAGGGAACGTCGCTTAGGGTGGAGCCCGGGACCTAACTCTCCCACCACTAGGGGCACGCGAGCAGCGGCCTCGCCCCGGCCGGCTCAGCCTCTCTAGCCCGAGGCCAGCGAGAGCGGGGCGGCCGCGGCGCGGGGCGGGGAAGAAAACCATGCGGACTGTACTACGTGACCTGGCCTCTTGGGGACGCGGAGACTCAGGAGGGCGGAGTTTTTCCTCCTTATCTTTGTCTCCGGGGAGCCACACCCTCCTCAGGAAGCAGAGTAGCGATACCTACCCAGGCCTGCCGCTCTCTGGGCCTCTCCCGTGCCGTTCCTTCCTCTGTTCCGCGCCCACGCTTCCCTGCCCCCTCTTCTCCCTCTGTACTTTGGTACGAGCCGATGGAAAGGGGCGGAGGGATGAAAAGGAAAAGGAAGCAGGCGGGTCTTAAAGGGGCCGCAGCCATTTTTTAAAGCCTCTCTTTCCTTTCTCCAATTTCGGAAGTACGGGTGCAGAAGAGTAGGTTCTCGGAAGCTGAACACAACTGGAGCAGGAGGCACCGCTGCTGGAGGCTGCAGCGCCCGCGGGGCGGGCGGAGGGGAGGGTCCGCCCATAGGCAGTGCGGGGTGTGCGCGCCCCCAGCGCCCCGNGAGGCCGCGCAGCGGGGCCGAGACAGAGCTGGCACCTCCGGATCGGGCCCCGGGCGGCCAGGGGGCCGCCGCGATGCCCAGCGAAAATATCTTCCTGTTTGTGCCTAACCTAATCGGTGAGTGCTGCCCGCGGCTCCGGGCGGACGGCAGGGAGCGGGGCCCTGGGCAGCCATCCTGATCCCGCCCTGTCTTCCCTGTGCCATCCCAAGGTTATGCCCGGATTGTCTTCGCCATCATTTCTTTCTACTTCATGCCCTGCTGCCCCCTCACGGCCTCCTCCTTCTACCTGCTCAGCGGGCTTCTGGACGCTTTCGATGGATACGCTGCTCGAATCCTTAATCAAGGTGACAACTCCCAGCCGACCTTGAGGCACAACAACCCACTGCCCCCTTTTCCTGTCTCCTCAGGACCTAGGGGTGGGCGGGTGCTCTGGAATCAGAGGACTCCATCATTCCCATCTCCATAAGGCAGAACTGATGGCCTGGTTTTGTAGCAGAAGGGATTTAGGTTGGCTGTTGAGAAGAACCCACTGATAGTGCGGGGCTGTAATAGCAAGGCTGCAGGTGGCAGTGCTGGAGGTCTCTGAATTAATGTCCCTTCAGGTGGTGGTTACTGGGTATGTACTGTGTGCCAGGCACAGCAGTCCTGATTCCAGGAGGCCCGTTTAGAGGGAGGTTGGAGAGGGAAGGGAGTTGGCCCCTGGAGGGCCGAACCTGCCCTCCAGGCCCACCTCCACGACTTCCCCTAGGACTTCAAGTCTCCTTGTCTTGAGACCTGGACCCTTGGTTCTGGGACTGATGAGTTACTTGTAAACTAGCTTTCTCACTCCCTCTTCCACTCTCTCGTTTCATGTCATGGTGACCCTTGCCCATTGACCTCATACCCCATGGAGAGCAGCCTGTTTTCCTCCCCAGGCAGTGGATGGTGGACATTTTTTCTTCTTTTAGGCTTTGCATCAGAATGATCACCAAATATGGCCCCTGTTGTAGATCCGCTGCCCCCTAACAGTCCCTTTCCAACTAATAGCCCCCGTTTTTCAGGGACCCGGTTTGGGGCCATGCTGGACATGCTGACGGACCGCTGCTCCACCATGTGTCTGCTGGTCAACCTGGCCCTGCTGTACCCTCGCGCCACCCTTCTCTTCCAGCTCAGCATGAGCTTGGATGTGGCCAGCCACTGGCTGCACCTCCACAGGTCTGTGACCCTGGGGTTGTTGATCAGCTGAAGAAGGCACTGCAGTGGGGAGGGAGACTATCTGGGAGGGTGTCAGGATTGGCTTCAGGCTTCTTGAGAGGTTCCTTTTCGGCTTGCTTTGTTGAAGGGCAAAGTCTCTCTGGGTCAGCTTCAGTCCCATTTGCAGTTGGAATAAGCAATCCCTAAAACGCTTCTGATTGGATATTTGAGGATTCCAAATAGCTAACAGCTCTTAGGAAGGGGTTTGGGGGCTTTTGAATGTGGCATTTGAATCCTGACTCTGCCCCCAACTAGGTAATTGTGTGGCTTTGGGCAAGACAGTGGTCCTCAGCTGGGCTCCTGGTCCTCTTGTGTACAACAGAGGCAATCCCAGTACCTTCCTCGTAATGGTCGCTCTGAGGAATAGATGGGTGGCAGTGGTAATGAACGCTCATGGATTCCTCTACTTTCTCCCAAAGTTCTGTGGTCCGAGGCAGTGAAAGTCACAAGATGATCGACCTGTCTGGAAATCCAGTGCTTCGCATCTACTATACCTCCAGAGTGAGCATTTCCTACCACTCCCTTACCTACTCAGCTTAGGCAAACCCTGGGCTGGCCCCGGTCCCAGGTTAGGAGAGGCGAGGTCCCAGGTTAGGAGAGGCGAGCTTATGAGCACAAAGGAGGGATAACCAACCCAGGGGAAGAGAGCCCCGTAAGCTGAGGAATGGGGGAGGGTGGGATTATGGGGAGGGCCTATGTGAATTGCTCCAGGCAGTAGGTGGTTTTTAAAGAAAGGAGTAATATGCTGAGGTTGCTCTTTACTCCTCCCCGCAGCTGCACCCCGATTTCCCCAGTACAGTTCCAGCTCCCATCCTCAGAGTTCTGGCCCCTTGTCCCTGTGTGTGTGCTGCGGGAGGGTTGTGCACACTGGCCCACGGTCCTGTTTAAGCAGCCTTTTTGCTGTTTGTGCAGCCTGCCCTGTTTACCCTGTGTGCTGGAAATGAGCTCTTCTACTGCCTCCTCTACCTGTTCAGTTTCTCCGAGGGACCTTTAGGTAGGAAATGAGGGGCTGGGCTAGAGGGTGGGGTGGTTCTGGCCCGCCCGGGGAGATGAAGGCCAAAGACTTCTGGGCCCCCTCCCTCACCTCCATCCCATTTTCTCAGTATTGCCTTTGCTTCCCTTCCCACAGTTGGCTCTGTGGGTCTTTTCCGAATGGGACTGTGGATCACCGCCCCCATCGCCTTGCTCAAGTCCCTCATCAGTGTCATCCACCTGATCACAGCTGCCCGCAACATGGCTGCCCTGGATGCGGCAGACCGTGCCAAGAAGAAGTGACCCTGGAGTTCCAGCCTCTGGCTGCCCACCTGCCCTGGGAGGCTCACTGTGCCACGCGGCTCCCCTCTCCCTCCTAGGAGGTCCAGGCTCATGTCTTCCTAATATGTTGTCCAGCCTGCTGGAAGGGGGTCAGCCTCTTCAGTGATGTCATGTTCTCCTGAAGCGATTTCATGTTCAGTGATGTCATGAAATCCTGAAGGCCAGTCCCACCCCTGGACTCCAGATCAGGACGGATGCTCAGGAGCCCCAGTGCTTCTGGGACGCTAAGAGGCTTATCTGAGAGCTGGCTTAGCCCTGGGGTCCGGCTTGGCCCAAGACTTTAGGGACACTTGCGTGAGGGAGATGGGGGAAGGGCCAGTTTCCCAAAAGGCAGGGGATCGGAACTCTGCCCCTGGCCAGAGGAAGCGCTGACTTTTCTTGTTTCTTCTCTATTCCTACAGTGAAGATTAACCTTAACCTGGCCTATCGCAGTTGCTTAATAAATATTCACAAGTAGTTAAGTTGGTTTCTCAGCGCAGTCCTTAGACCACCTATGGGGTATTTTTTAAAAATTCAGCTTCTAGGACGTGGCACCAGAGTTGGAATCTCTAGGGATGGCCCCAGAAGTCTGCACTTTTAATAAACTCCAGGTGATTGATTCTTCCTAGGGTTGAAGATCACTGTGCTCCTTAAACAGTTTTTGGGTCCCTACTGGATGGTAGACATTGTTCTGGGCATCTGCCCCTAACAGTTACCCCTATCATTTGAGCTTTCTCTGCTGTCTGGCAATCGCTTTCCTTTTTAAAACTATATTGAGCCTACCATATGCCAGACCCTGTGCTGGGGGTTGTTTGCAGCTGTTATCCATTTTATAATAGCTTAGCCAGGAGGCCTGCATGTCCAAGAGAGCTGAAATCCAGCAGGTGTGTGTTAAGCCTCAACCCTGTGCTAAGCCCTCGGACTGTGGAGGTTACAGTCCGATAGGGGGCGTGCAGGAGTCCAGCAGTTAGGGAGGTGTTTGTTGGGGGATTGGAGCAGGTATTGCTGTACTGCTTTGCTTAGGTGCCAGTGAAGGGTGTGGCATCTTAGGAAGCTGGTAGAGGTTGGGGCCAGAAGAGTTAATGCAGAGGAGAAGGCTGGTTTTCAGCTGAGGACGGAGGCCAGAGAGCAAGTTTCCAAAGTGGAACCTGATATAATCATGTTGCTGGTACGTGCTGGGGGTTGGGGGAGTGGAGAACTGGTGAGAAATTGGGGGAGCCATCAGGCAGCCTGAGGAGCCCAGTAGGGCATTTGGACTATCCTGAGGGCCACATGGAGCCATTGAAGGAATCTTTCAAAATAATAGGCAAAATATTCACAGGGTAAGAAAATGCAGTTGCACACTATACAAGGATGGGCCCTGGCTGGTGTGGCTCAGTTGGTTGGGCGTCCTGTGCACCAAAAGGTTGCTGGTTTGATTCCCGGTCAGGCCACATGCCCGAGTTGCGGGCTTGGTCCCTGGTAGGGGGCATGCAGGAAGCAGCCTATTGATGGTTCACTCTCACATCGATGTTTCTCTTTCTCTCCCTCCCTCTCCAAAAATCAATAAAAACATTTTTTTTTAAAAAAGGATGATGAAGTCCACTACCACCTTAAGCTCTCACTTCTCCCCAGAAGCGACCACTGCTACTCATTGCTTATGTGTCTAAATTCTTCATGCTTACACATCTATCTTTCCATATTTTAAAGTATTTTGTATATGCTGTTCTGCTAACAAGCTACTGCTGTGCCAAGTGCTTTTTGCTTGTATTGCCCCATTTCACCTGACGCCTACACTGCACTGTGTACTAGACAAATGCAACAAGCTTTGCCCATTTTCCAAAAAGGAAAGGGGTTCTAAAAAGGAGGCCGACCTGGTGAGCTTGACTCCAGAGCCTTAGCATTTACCACACAGCAGTCCACGTACGTGGTCTTACTGGTGGCGGTGGGTTCCATTGTTTAATCCGGTTCTGCCACCGTGAACAGTACTGCAGTAAGTCACCCGGGTTCTTGGATACATAGGATGGTGGCAGGGACACATACTTGAGGAAGATGGTGGTTCACAGTTTGAATCACTCCAGCTCTGCAGGTGTCCCCTTACCCAGCCTGTTCCCAGTCAAGGTGTGAGACGACCATCCTTCCTGAGTCGACTCCCGCCAATGAGGCTTCTGAGCACCTCTGTCCCTGAAGGGCTCCTGGCTGTTGGGCCCTAACCAATTACAGTGATGTCTGGAGTCTAACTGTAAATTCAGCTACTCAACCAGAAAAAGAAAAGGGAGAGTTGGGCCGGGGTGTGAGCATCTTCCACTCAAGTACAGCATGTGCCGAGGCCTGAGGAGCCAGCACTGAAGACGGTCCCATGTCCAGTGGTCAGACATCCCAGGGGGAACCTGCAGAGGACAAGCCTGATTTTACAGCCTAGGATCAGGTGGCCCTGGGACCTCCTGGAGGAGGGGGCAGGGAAAGTCTGGGCCGAATTGGAGTCACTATATTTGGTCAGGGGGATGTAGTGGAGTCATCACATATTGCTATGGTCTGAATGTTTGTGTGCTTGCAAAATTCATACATTGAAACCTAATGCCCAATGTGATGGTATTTAGAGGTGGGGCCTTTGGGAGGTGATTAGGTCATCAGTCCTCATGAATGGGGTTATTGCCCCTTCTAAAAGAGGCCTGCAAGCTCTCTTACCATGTGAGGACACAGCCAGAAGGTGCTGGCTATGAAAAAGAAGAGGGACCTCACCAGAACGTGACCATGCTGGTGCCTTGATCTTGGACTTGCAGCCTCCATAACTGGGGGAAATACATTTTTGTTGCTTTTAAGCCACCCAGTCTGGTAAGCCACCCAGAGAATAGGCACATACTCCCCCCCCCCCCCC